GGAAGGTGTGCGGAAGAGGGGGTAGTTTTATACGGCGAGTATATAACAAACTCTGTATTTTGAGTGGAAATGTTAGGGGGTCGTCTTATACGCCCAGTCATCTTATACGCCAGCAAATACGGTATATATAATTGATTCTTGACAAAAGCTATTCAGTGGAGGAAAAAATAGTCTTTTAACCAATGATGCTGGAATAATTGGATATCTATGTGCACAAAGAAGGAAGAGGAAGGGAAGAAAAGCTGTGATCTGTCCCTAGCATCTTACATGAAAATTAACTCCAAAAAGATTATTGACCTAAAAGTAAAAACCATAGAACTTCTAGGGGGAAAAATGCATAGGAGAGAATCTTTGTGACCTGAGAGAATCTCAGACATAACAGTAAAATCGGGATCCATGAGAGAAAAATAAAAGAAAGGAGAAGGGAGCCCCTTAATCCAGGAACTGGTCTGACACTCACAACAAGGCCTCAGTGTTATTATAGAGATGACCTGATGCTCACGATTAATGTTCTCTTGTTGGACACAAACAATCTCATAGAACACCAACATCAGACAAAGTCATGATAAAGTGAGACAAAAACAAGGTCACTGTGCACACCACAAAATATCAATCATCCCCCATCTCAGCTAAAATGATTACTACTTTTTACCAATTACAGCTTTCTTCTTGCTCTGGTTTGCCCTCCTTATAAATAAGATTTATTGGGATATCCAGTCATAGAATTGCACTTGCTTTCTGACAGCACCCAGTTAGATCCCACTTCCTTAGATCTTTCTCAAAATTACGCAACCGAAGCCCAAACTCCATAATAGGTTCTTTCTAATGCCCCCTTACCAAGACTCCCCATGGTGGGCATTCTCCCTCACTGCAATGAGCAATAAACCAAACTATAGTATCCAGTGCTCCTGGTGGTTTGGGAACTAGGGTGTTAATGAATTGATAAATTGGATGCACCAACATTGAGAACTTCTGCTCTTTCAAAAGACACGGTTAAGATATGTCGTACACTTGAAAATATTTATAAATAATATATCTGATCAAGTACTTGTATCAAATATATATGCAGAATTCTGACAACTCAATAATAAGAAGACATATAACTGAATTAAAAACGGAGCTAAAGATTTAAACAGTCACTTAACTACAGATGACATATTGATGGCAAACAGGTATATTAAAAGGTGTTCGGTATCATTAGTCATTACAGAAATTCAAATCAAACCAAATGAGCTACCACTGCACACCTACTAGAATGTCTACAAAGACTGACTATGCCAAGTGTTGTCAAGTTCATGGAGCAACTAGAACTCTCACACTCTGCTGATGGGAATGTAAAATGATGCAGTCCCTTTGGAAAACAGTTTGACAGTTTTAGTACCCAGCCTTTCTACTCTTAGGCATTTATCCAAGAGAAATGAAAGCATATGTCCATTCAAAGACTTGTACATGACTATTCATATCCACTTAATTTGTAATAGTCAAAAACTGAAAATAATCCAGGTGTCTATCAATAGATGAATGCATAAAAATATTGTGATCTACACAGTGGAATCCCTCTCAGCAATAAAAAGAAATGAGCTATTGATACATTGGATCAACATGGATGAAATCCAAAATAATTATGCTGAAGGGCCGGCTGAGTGGCTCAGTTGGTTAAGAGCTCGCTCAAGAGTTTGAGCTCTGAGCAACAGTGGTTCGAGTCAGCCCGAGCTGAGCAGC